AGGGTGAGGCTGGGCATGGGATGGATGCGTGACATGTCAGGGGGCAGCAGGAAGGTGGGGGTTTGGGAAGGGGGGCGGGGAGGGAGGCTCCTGCTGCTGTGAGCGGCTCGTCCAGTGCTCATCTGGTGGCTCCTGCCACTTCTCCCGCTGCTTGTCTAGGAGGGCATGTGGGGGACATGTGCTCCCAGATCCACCTGGCTGAGAAGAGCTTGACCCCAGCCCAACCCGCACAGATCAGGGGCATGCGCCACCCCGCCCCCCATGTCCTCCTGGATGAGTGGTGGGAGCAGCTGTGGGAGCACTGGACAAGCCATGTGTAGCAGCCAGAGTCGCCCCTCCTCCCTTCCCAGGTTTCCCCCCTCCCATCCCCCATGACAAGCAACGCTTCCATTGCACACCTGTCCCAGCCCTGGCTGGGTAGCCTCTACCCCAACCCCACACCCTCCCTCACCGTAGGGGCCTTGATCTGTCCCCTCACACCCTTCTCCCTCCTCCCCTCCCAACACACCAGACTTACCGGCTGCATGCAGCACTCCATGCTCCTGGCTCTGCTCCTCACTGCCTACTTGCTGCACTCAGACTGCATGCACGCAAGGGCATTTATTGGACAAATTATCGGCTGTATCAGGCTAATTTCAGATCAGAAAATTTTCTTTATATCTATGCCAATCCAGTATCGGACCAATATATTGGTGCCCCTCTAGTTGCTAGCTTACTGATTCTATCAGTTGTCTGTTCCTTCATAGCAGTCCCATAATGATATAATCCTATATATTTAATTTTTAAAAATGAGAGGAAAGCTATGAGATTAAATGGATTCTGCTCCTCATTGGCCCACTGTGGTAGTGCTGTGCTCTGTGATTTATGCAATTAGCTTCCTCAAAGAGTAGTTTTTGCACAGTGCTGCACGTAATATTACCTAACCTATTGGCTACATCCTCAGGCTTAAGAAGGTGGTCTTTTTTCATGCTTTCAGTTTTGTTTATTCTCTTCTCATGGCTAACTGCAGAAAATGGCATGTACTTGTCCTCTGTGAACATCATTTCTCTCATCACATAGGAGTCTGACTTTCTGCAGGTCACCACTGGCAACTGAGTTCTGTCAGAGAATGATAAAAATAAGAAATAGATTGAATGCTTTTATAAATTAGCCATGATAAACAGCCCTGGGCCCCCAAGGCTTGATAGGGGAAGGTTCTTTATTTATTACTAAGGTATAATATGAGTGTGTGCCACATTGTCCTGGGCCATAATTTGATCTCTCTCTTTGGCCTTTGGTCTCATTGTTACCTGGACAGATGAGGCATGAGTGCCTTTATAAAGAAAGTATTCCTATTATCGTTTTAACAGATAGGACTGAAATGGTATAGAATAGAAGGTGACCTAATATGCTAATGAGCCATGGAATTAACAGGCAGTTAAAGAAGAGTGAAATTGTGCTTTACTATGGAAAGCCTGGTAATAGATACCTTGTATATCTCATGCTGCCATTAAGCTAAACATGCAAAGGGAACCTTTGTTTTGTTTTGTCAAAGGTTTGCTTTATTTAGCCTGTTTGGGAACATTTAAAAGTGGAAATAGCAGGCCGCTGAATTTGAGTTTGTAGTTCTGTTCTGCATCCTTTTTCTTTGTTTCTTTTGCTATGAAACATACAGTGCAAAGTAACTATTTGATGCCTAGCATCTTTGAAAGCCCACAGAAATAATTCTGCATGAATCTTTTGGGGTGGAGGAGGTTGGGGAGGGGAGGAAAGTGTTACTTACTGTTAGTAGCACTCTTTCAAAAACATTGAGAGCTGGTGTTTGTCCACTGAGGCAGTGCCAGAAACAGTTATAGTCCTTGTTTTCTCAGTGAGCAGTTAGTACCCTGCATATCATTTTAATGACTGCTGTGGCATCTAAGTGTAGTATTGGGGTGAAGTAGATGGTGTCATTTCCTATCATCTGCTCCAGAAGCTGATCTGAAATGCATCTTGCAATGCCAGCCTACTGAGACCTTGATTCTTCTAGTGGAAAATGAAATTTTAAAGATATCTGGCTTTCTTTCCAGTGACACAGTTCCATACCTCCGAGTGATCCTGTCTCTGGGACGCTCCTTAGGTGTATGGTTGAACCTGTTGTTCATTAGAAGCAGCTGGAGCCTATCAGCACACTTTACCTACATGCCAAGAATAACTTCAATACAATTTGAAGATGATATTTTGGCTTGGCCTTCTGTGGTCCTTTCTGTGAAGCTGGGAGGCTGCACAGCTATTCAATTAAAATGTTCACACCTTCTGCATTAAGGTAGTTCTGTAGATAAAATCCCAGTAATGCAGGATACAGCCTTTCTGGTATGAATTTTTTTTTTTTTTTTTTTTTTTTTGGAAGCCAATTTATATGGGGGGTTTGCATAAAAACCCATGAATTGAGCATCAGTTGGGTAAGTATAATGCTGGGAGAGAGATCCTAAGAGTTGTTATCCATGTCAGTTATGTATGTTTAGCATATGCAGTTAGTTTAAAAGCTTTTCTAAATAACTTTTCAAATAATGTGTTACAATGAGATATGTAAGACTGTCAAGAAGATTCAGTTTCTTTTAAAAAAATGTTTCAATAACTTATGAAACAAGGGGAACAAGTCAGTTAATACTTTCAGCTTTTACTGATGTAATTTGTGGTTTCTAGGCAAAATGTAGGGCACTAAAACTCCAAGCATCCATTACTACTTCTATATTTACAAATTAAGTCTGGCCTTTGCTGTTAAACTGTTTCTACTTTTCTCTGTAACCAATCTACAACATTAGATCTAACACATTGTGGCTTTTTTGTGAATGATTTTTTATAAGTCATGAAATATAGCTCACAACTGCATGTTTTGTGAAGTGGGACACTTTCTATGATATGGGAAAAACTAGCTGCCTATAAATGCCCTTGTTTTCTTAAGCAAAGTAATAGGATGACAGCGAATTTTTAAAAATTCCAAAAGTGGTGTTTAAAAAAAAGTATCCTTTTTTGTTGCTGTTCTGTGATCAACAATTTAAATATAAGCAGTATTTCTGGTTTTAAGTATACTGCAGAATCTCTTGCAATCAGTCCATTCTTTTTTCCAGAAACTGTAAATCATTCACACTTGTGACAGGCTGGATTTATGGAACACATCATTCCCAAGCTATGTATGCATTTTCATTTGTGTGATGTCAGCCTAAGTTGTTTAGCAACATATCAAAACAATTGCGTGAAAAGATTGCTGTCTTTTTTTAATGAATCCCATAGGAAGTCTTTCCAAATGTTTATGCATTGTAAATAATTGCAGTCCAGCATTGCTACCCAAGTGGAGAAAAAAGTATTTTTGCCTTCTCTCTAGCCTTCATTTAATATTTTAACACCAGCTAATAGCATGGTTTATACAATGAGGCCTGCTCTGTTCAGGGCACAGTTGCAGGTATTGAATATCATTCTCTGAGGAAATATTTTACATAGGCTTCCAGTAAGAGGCTTTCAAGTTTGATCTTTACTTGGTTTGCCCTGTGCACACAGTACAGGACAGACAGGCATTCTTGTGTGTGCCAAAGTGGTTTGAGGGTGGTGAAAAAGCAACTGTCTAAAAGTACTGTACCATTTACTTTCAGGAATAACAGCTGAAGTCCTAGTAGTGTCCTCTTTTGATGAGCTGTACAAAAGAACTGAAGAAGCCAAGGGGAAGATTGTTGTTTATAATCAGCCTTACATCAGTTATGGTGAAACTGTGCGATACAGAGCCCAGGGAGCAGTGGAAGCTGCTAAAGCTGGAGCTGTGGCATCCCTTATCAGATCTATTACCCCCTTTTCTATTAATAGGTAAGCACATATTACTTCCTGTGACTCCTATTTCATCTAGTTTATGTGGTTGGTGGGGAGGGCAGGCACTTCCTTGTTCTCTGGAATGTGCATTGCCTAGTTCTGAGTAGGTGTTTGGTTTGGAAAGTTGGTATTCTATAACAATTTCACCCTAATTTTAAAAAGACTTTTCATCACTGTGCATATTACAGACCTTGCATATTGTTTGTTTTTAAACAGCTTTCTACATTCATAAATCCTGTATTTATTTGAATATATGACTCCCCAATAGTTAGATTCTATATATGGAAAATGTATGAACTTGTTACAACTTCCAGGAACAGATTCTAATTATTGGAGGCTTGCCTTGAATTTGTCCCCCTCCCACTGCTACAGCAGGGAAAATTAAATCTGGGGGGTTTGGTAGCCCCTTTGCCCCCTGCTCCCTCAAACTTCTTCCCATCCTGTCCATCCCCTCCCCTCCCCTCCCCTCCC